AGTGTTCAGCCTCGGTGTTCCTGTGGACGTGCTCTTCTTTATTGGAAACCAATTGGTGGCCACAAGTCACACAGGGAAGGTGGGAGTATGGAACGCCATCACTCAGCACTGGCAGGTCCAAGATGTTGTCCCCATAACTAGCTACAACACAGCTGGCTCCTTCCTGCTGCTGGGCTGCAGCAATGGGTCCATATAATATGTAGATATGCAGAAGTTTCCTCTGCGAATGAAGGATAATGATCTTGTCACAGAACTCTACCACGACCCCTCAAATGACGCTGTAACGGTACCTCACACCCAAGACAAGTGTCAGCGGGAACTGGATCGAGATCACCTATGGTACGAGCTCTGGAGCAGTGTGCATGATAATGCAGCACCCAGAGACAGTTGGGTCAGGTCCTCAGCTCTTCCAGACTTTCATGGTTCACCGAAGCCACTCTGTGACGAAAATCATGCTATCGGAGAAGCACCTGGTGTCAGTCTATGCAGATAATAATCATGTCTAAACATGGACAGTCACTCGGTTCTGCAGCATTATCTCCACTCAGCCGGGCTCCACTCCGTTAGTGTCCTTCAAGATTCTGTCTTTGGAAGAATCAGAGAGCCCCGGAAGCTACTCCTCTGAGGGAAATGACACAGGGCCTTTTGGAGAGTGAGATGACCAGCAGGTGTTTATTCAGAAAGTTGTTCCCATCACCAATAAACTGTTCGTGCGACTCTCATCTACTGGGAAGAGGATCTGTGAGATCCAGGCTGTGGACTGCACCATCATATCCTCCTTGACCGTGTGAGAGTGCGAGGGCTCCAGCCAGATGGGCTCGAGGCCATGGCGCTACCTGTTCACGGCCACACCAATGGCAGCATCAATGTGGGACCTGACCACGGCCATGGACGTGGTCAACAAGAGCAAGGACAAGGACCCAGGCAGCCCGACTGAGGAAGAGCTGCTCAAGCTGCTGGATCTGTGCAACCTGAGCACGTTGTGCTGTGCCACCCCAAACATCAGCCCCGCCCCCTCAGTGCTTCAGCACAGCAGCCTGCGGGAGTCCAGTTCCAGCCTTCAGCTTCAGTACCATGAGACCATCCACAAAACAGCAACTTACGGGTCCCTGTGGCCTTACAGAGAGAGTCCCTTGTTAGCAAGGGCATGGAGGACCGAGAGCTTCTGCAGGTACAGGGACTTTCAGACTATTAGCTTCAACAGAAGCAAAGAAAGAGCCATTCCAGAAAATGGCAGCCTGGGTACCATTCAGGCCGAAGTGAAGGGGGCTACGGGAGAATGTGGCAGGTCAGCGAGGCAGTCTCCTGGGGTGGAAACCAAAGGCCTGAGAGATGTGGATGTTGATCTGGAAGTACACAAAGAAGCTGAAGGGTTTTCAGAAGCCAAGAAACAGTCCTCAGAAGATGAAAATGAGAGTAAAACAGAATTGAAGAAGAAAGGCAGATTTGAAGGGGGAGGCTTCCTCGGAGGAAAAAAATTTCCTCATCTGGCCTCCTCACCAAGCACTTCTGACGATGGTACCGACTCCCCCAGGACCGCCTCCCCCCGCCCCCACGAAGACCATGCGTCTCCTTGGCATAAAAAGAGCGATTCTTGGGCCGGGGATTTGGCTCAGTGGTTTCATCGCCTGCTTCGCAAGCGGAAGGATCGGAGTTTGATCCCCAGCACCAAAAAAAAAAAAGAACGATTCTTCAGGTCAGGAGTACAGCTTGTGAAAATTCACCAACGAATGGTAATTTGTTAAATTTAGGCAAAAATTAAGTTTTCCTGATTTCAGTACATTTGTTTTTTTGTTTGGTACCGGGGATAGAGCTCGGGTCCTTGCGCTTGCACAGCAGGCGGGAAAACCACTGAGCTAAATCCCTGGCCCTTCAGTACATTTGTTTTTAAACTAAGACTCTACGAGATAAAATCAGACTTCAGTTAATACCTTTTTTTTTTTCAGTACAGGGGATCGAACCCGGGTCCTTGTGCTTGAGGGGCAGGCAGCGGAACCACTGAGCTAAATCCCCGGTCCCAGTTAATCCCTTTTAACAGAATTGCCAGGCATAAGGAGCTACAGTAATCATATCTCTCTTGACATTTTGGAAATTTCTTAGCTTTACAAGCGCATTTAACAGGTCACTTGTAAAGTGGAGCTCATTTTCACATATGGCTGCTGTCGTCAGCTGTGCCCCGGACTGTCTCGGTAGGGCAGTGCCCCGTGCAAGGGTCCTCCGCAGGACCTGCAGCCTGCATGCACTCCTAGGAGTCTTGGTCATGCCGGACACTCGTCTTGTCGCAGTGTTACTGTACGTGAAACACATAATTCTCTTCGGTCTCCCAGCCCTCATGATGGCTGTGTGTTTACCAGATATTTGATGAGGTGCTATGTTTGTGACAAAATATCATATAACTCAGAAACACTACTGGTGTTAAATGCCAGACTCCCCTGTTGTAGCAAGACAGGGTCATTTTGGTTTGTGGGTCATCTTCTGATTCTCAGTGTGGGCAGTTCTTAAATCTCAGTATGCATCACCAATACGCAATGCCAGAAGTCCATGTGAACTGTATTTCAAATTGGAACAACTGTCTGCTTGAAGATGACATAAAAAATAATAATCAGGGCAGCGCTTTGAGCACCCAGAAGGAAAGCTCTCCCAGTTACTAATTTGCTTTGTTTTAGGAGTCATCGTATTTTTTTCAGTGTTAATAATCAAGATAATTAAATGTGGCCATCTTATTACACTTAGATAAGTGTAGTTGTAGATTTTTGCTTAAAGGTTTTTGCTGGTGTAAAAATGTTATTTTGAATATATTTTGAAGTGTAAGAGCAAAAGAAAGAATTTTTTGTACATCTTTTCTTCATTTAATTGGAGTGAATTTCAGGTTTCAGCAAAGAAAGTGTAAATTTAAACCATTAAGCATTTATTGCTGAATAATGTATATATTTCCATTCCAAGAAATATAAATGAGTGAAGTTGAAATAAATTCTTTAAAGTTTACTCTAAAAAAAAAAATCTGTATTGAGCATCTGCAAACCTTTTTCTTGTCAGTGCCTAGACAATACAATATAACAATTATTTGCATAGTATTTACATTGTAATAGTATTGTAAGTAATCTAGAGATAATTTAAGTATACAAGAGGATGTGCATAAGTTATATGAAAATACTATACCATTTTGGGTAAGAGATTGAGCATCTGTGGATTTTGGTACCTGAGCAGCATCCTGGAAACAATCTTCCATGGACACTGAAAGACAACTTCACTCTACTTCACTTGACCTAGGATAGAACTCAAGCAACCTCTGTCTAAGAATTCCTTCTAAAACACATCAGCTTACAATGAAACATTCAGTTTGAGCTTAGTAGCAGTAGTTTTAAGAGGAGGTGTGTTAGAATTAGATATAATACTTTAAAGAAAGTGCAGATGTTGAGCTGGGGTTGTAGCCTAGTAGAGTGATTGACTAAGCATGCACAAGGCCCTGGGTTTGATCTCCAGGACAAGAAGGGAGGAAGGGAAGGAGGGAAGAAGGGAGGGATCGGGTGATGTCTAGGACTAGGCTTAAACATCTGAATCAAAATCTTTATGAAGGTACATATATGTGAAAAACAGGTATCTGCGTGCGCGCGCGCGTGTGTGTGTGTGTGTCAAACTTCCAAAGGTCAAAAGGGAGGGAAGTGGGACTTTCAGAGACATGCTGGGACCTGGCAGAGAAATCTGAATATGATTTTTACATTAGATGCTATTGGTAAATTGGTGCTAAATTTCTTGGAATGGGACTGTGGTTATTTATCTGGAAGACTTTAGGATACTTCAGTCTTACAATATCTGTAACTTTGATATGTTACAGGAAAGAAATTTTACATACATATAGATAAAACAAACATAGCAAAATGTTGTCAAATTGGTCAACTGAGGAAAAGTTTACATAGGTGTTCGTTGTACCATTCATTAAAATTTTGTGTATAAGTTGGAAATTTTCAAAATAAAAGTTGGGGAAAGTATAAGTGTACAAATGATCTTGTTTCTGTGACCTAAGGCTCTCAAACTTCAAGTGATATCAGGAAATCTGTTTCCTACCTGCCACATGAGCACTTCCTCTCCCTAGCCCCATTTCAAAAGATGAACAAATGGATAAAGCCTTCTACTCCATGTATGCTGACCCACAAGGCTTATGATCTAAAAGTGTAAATGAGAATGCACTTTAATGGAAGCACCTGTACCCTGCAAATTGCTAGTAGGCCTTGTTCCAAAGGGTATAGGGAGACTGTAAAATCCAATAGAAAGTCAATGAGTTCCTTAGGTACAACAGCAAGTTACAACATGCCCCAGGTTACCAAACCTAGCCTTTGTAAGGCCCTGCTTATCAAACAAGGCCTAGACAAAAAAAAAAGCAGATTCCTTCATCCAGTACATACTTAACTGTCCAATATGTGCTAAACACGTTCCCTATCATCATGTGCTAAATACCATATGACTATAAACAGAAGAAACAAGGGCCAGGGATTTAGCTCAGTGGTTTCGCCGCCTGCTGCGCAAGCGCAAGGACCCGAGTTCAATCCCTGGTACCAATAAATAAATAAATAATAAACAGAAGAAACACATTTCACAAGATTTAGTCATTTCTATAAAAAGAAAGTTATTTTCAATGAAATGTATTCATTAAAGTTACAACCAAATAGAATCTTTCTCCTATCCATATATCTGGGACAGGGTTATGCTAAGCTGCCCAGGCTGAACTCAAAAATGCAGTCCTCCTGCCTCAGCCTCCCAAGAAGCTGGAACTACAACTGTGCACTCACATTTCTTTCTTCATACTCACTAAATCATACTAGTGAGCATGACAACATAAGACAGTAAACAGCATATATTCAATTAAAATTCCAAATTTGTTCTGAATTTTTTCTTTGGGAAGTTATGTAAATCCTAAAAAAGGGAAATAATAAATGTGGCAGTGACAAATGAGGATCAAAAATTTGTTCCAAGAGCAAGAAACTATCTTTAAAAATACTTACCAAGCCAGCAGTAAGAGAAGGTGCAGACTGTCCAAAGGACTGGTTTCTCATTCGAACAAGGTTTGATGCTTCTCCTGAAGATTGCCAAGTCACCTGTCCCACACTGCTATGTACACTGCTGGACAAAGGGAGCAGCTGCTTACCTTCAAACACAAGAGTCATAAAACATGCATGTAATTATTTACTGATAGATGAATGAAAAGTACAAATGAGATGTCAGATGGATAACATCATATTGAAATAAACTAAGGTTCTTCCTTACCAATTTTAGAATCTATAATCTTTTGTTTGTTTGTTTGTTTGTTTTTTGAGATAGGGTCTCATTATGTAGTCCATGCTGGTCTTGAATTCACTGTGTAGCCCAGGCTGGCCCTAAACTTGCAGTGATCTTCCTGCTTCAGTCTCCAGAGTGTTGGGATTACAGTCATGCACCACTACATCCAGCATTAGAATCTATAATCTTTTAAGAGTTACAAATACCTTGGTAAGGACAATTACAAGTGGAATATTGATACAACCTGATTATTTTTACTTCTCTGTAATATACATTCTGAAACCCAACCTAGCAGTCTATTGAGTTTCCAATCCTGTCCAGCCAACTTGGTTTCCTACCGACTCTGTGCAACGAAATTGGGGTGGACAAATTCTCCCCAACAGGTCCAGTTCTTAGGATTTAATAAGGCAAGTATTGAATCTATACTGCCTTCACCAGGCTCGGTACGTGCTCAGTTCAGGTTTACTATCTTAATCTTACTAAAAGATACTTAAAGTCATCCATTAAAACCAAATGTCTAGGAGATCCATCAAGTTTGACTAGAGGCAGTAGTACCTGTAGGCATTGGGTTCTCAGAAATGAGGGGTGGGGAGACAAAGATTCCCAAAACAGGAAGACAACATGAAGGAGAAGACCACCAGATGAATTCCAGTGTACAGGATATTTAGAAAAAGAAGCAGGACCTCACCTTGATCCTAGCACTGCTTACACCCCAGGTCCAATCAACACACCTTCTTGGGAAAAGATCTAACTCCATGATGGAAAAAGCCAAATACGACACAAGTGCCAAGGCTACCACTATCCAATGCCCACCTGACCTCTTTTTTCACTGGGAGTAGGAGGCCAGCAAGCAACATATTCATACACCAGGGCACTAGAAAAAAAGAAAGCCAGAGAATTATTTGGAGGGAAGTAACAGTGTTAGGACCAGCAGGCCACTGTGAAAGAAAAGAACAAGAGCATGGTCCTGGTTAGGGACTTGAAACTAGTCACTGAGAGATCTGTGGCTCAGTGAAAAGCAACAGGAGGCAACAGTTGCAAGTGGCATGATCCAGGGGAGGAAAAAAAGACACTGGAGAAGTACCAAAGTAGGCATTCTCCCACTGCTCCCCCTAACACCAAAGTCTATGTCCACAGGAAACCCTGCCCACTTCCCACTCTCCAGATGCCATTGGCCTCAATGCCCACACAGGAACCCTCCTGCCACCAGCCAAAATCTGCTAAACTCTGAGAGCCCTAGGCAGCACTGGATTTGAGGGCCAGACAAAAATTCTTTGTGAGGTGTAGAAAAAGTTTGGCGTGGACAGAAAGCTAGAGAAGAGTGGAACAGTGCGGGGGGCGGGGGGGAGTGCACATTGGGAGCAGTACACTAAGAACAGACTAAAGAGATTATCATGGAGGGAGAAGATGGAGATCAAGAACATCCCTTTGGAAATCAGGGAAACAATGGGGTTATGGCTTATATCTAGAGACAAGAAAGTAACAGAGACAGATTTAGTACCAGAAGTGGGGTGATTGCTGTGATTGTACCTGACAATGTGATTCAGAAGCCTTTGGAAATGGCTTATGGGAGGAATTTAGAAAGGTTTGCAGATGCCAGCTGGAGAAGGAGCCCTAAAATGTTGTAAGCGAAGCATGATGAGATATTCTGGTTAGAACTCAGAAGATCAGAATGTTGACAGAAATGCTGCCAGGAAAGAACAGGCTCAGGAGGTTTCAGCTGGGATCAAGGACTGCAGCTGGCAATTGGAATCTGGGCCGTGTGCGTTATGCTTTGGCAGAAAAATTGTCTGCTTTTGTTCATATTCACAGACACTGTCAGAGACAGATTCAGGGCACTGTTGAGGCAGTGGCACGGCTGCTGATGTGGGTTTTTTAGCAAGCTGTACCTTGAGAATCAAGACCAAACAGCACAACAGAATGATTTTAAAAGTTTTGAGTTTGACCAGAAACGAAGTTCCAGTGAAGTTGTGGCCTGCAAAGATGGAGCAGAGAACTTGGTTGCTGAAAAGCATAGCATTAAAAAAATGCAAGTACTTTGGAACAGAACAGCAATTTAAAAAAAAAAAAAAAAGCCTAAGGGCATCACAAGAACCAGCAGGATTCCACTCTTTGCAGCCTCAAAACTTGAAAAGTGAAAGACTGCTTTGAGAAGAGATTCCCAGGACACCACATTCCAGAATGGCTGAGGCCTAGGCAATTTGTTCCTCAGGATTAGGTTCAGAGAACTCAGGAAGGAATCCAGGCACTCAACCCCTACAGACAAGAGAGGAGGAATCCTGGCTACTGCGCCAGCTGGTGGTGGACCTTGGCGTCATTCACATGTTGCTAGTTTTAGGCACATGTGCAATGTCAGAGTTGTGGAGTTAGGAAGTCTTTCCCCCAGATTTCAGAAGAAAGCCTGAGTCCAGGCAGTGCCCCTCTGAGCAGGAAATATGTGAACCTGTGAGTGTAAAGCAGAAGGTACAGTGGAGACCCCCAGAAGACTGGAAAAATCAGATGACTGGATCACCTGAGCAAAGCAGCAAGGAGTGAGCAAAGCTGGCCCAAGAGAGAAACCATGAAGGCTACAACTGCTGGCAGTGCTGTGAGGACAGGGCCACCCAAGTGCTCTCAAGTTCACATCTTGCCAGAGATTGCCCTAGGTGCTAGGGATGGTACATTGGGTTTAATGTTTGCCCTGCTGGATTTTTGTCTTGCTTTGGTCCCATTCTTTTCTATCCCCCTATTTCTACCTTTTGGAATGGAAATATTCAACTTTCTTTTCATTTTTATATAACTTTGCAGCTAAGAGTTTGCCTTAAAACTCAGAGCAGAATTTGGACTTGGACCTTTCAGCAATGCTAAAACTGTTAGGCCTTTGATAACTCTTAGACATGAACTAAATGTATTTTGCACAAAGGGATGTACATGAGTACATTAGGGGCCAGAGGCAGAATGTTACAGCTTATATCTAGATGCTCCCCCCAATGCCTCATGTACATAGATGTGACTTTTGGGAGTGACTGGATCATGGGTGTGTGATACCATACCGGATTAGTCTGCATATTGGTTTAGCATAGTTCTGGGTGTGAGAGGCACCAACCAATAGGCTTGCAAGCCAAACAGAATAAAAAGGGAAAGAAAGGACCCAGGATTTAGCTCAGTGGTTCCACCACCTGCCTTGCAAGCACAAGGACCTGAGTTCGATCCCCAGTACCAAAAAAAAAAAAAAAAAA